TTATGTACTTATTTTGACTTGAAATTTTTTTTTTTTTGTAATATAATATTAATAATATTATTGGGACTTAGGTGTATGGATTTATTAATTATAAGTTATAATTTCATCAGTGAAATTGTAAAAATAAATAAAAAACAATATATTTATTATAATTTCTAGGCCCCGCCAAGGCCCCGACTAGGCGCTCTAGGCGTTAGGCGTTGGTCGGGCACTCTAGGCGCTAGGCGCTGGTCGGGCACCTAACGGGCGCCTAGCGACTTCTAGAACACTGGTTGATAATACAATAATGCTAAGGAGCCAACTGTTGACTCCGTTACGGAGCCAACAGCCAATGAGACAGCTCCATGTAGAACTATTCCACATGGCTACAATGTGGGACAACACCACATGGAGTTGTAACGGAGCAGTTGGCTCCTTAACATTACTGATTGACAATATAGGAGATAGTGGGGTTAGGTTAAAGTGAGTTAAATTTGAGTTTTGATTAATTTTTTTAGTGTACAAACCATAAACAATCACCCCTTAATAATCTTGTTTGGCTATTAGCTTATAGTGAATAACAAGTAGATGATTGTATACCAGCTGCCCATTTGTAAATATCTGTTAGAAAATAGCGTATTGTCTAATTATTTGACAATTTTATGTTGATATGTTATTCTACGATCCATTTATTCTACATTTTTTTTTTTTCAAAATCAACAATTTGGGCTAAAAAACTAATCAAATAAATTAATCACACCTTTAAATAAGGTTCAATCAGCTAACATCCAAACATGGGTAATATATGGGCATCTTGAGAACATATGATTCATAGAATAACATGTCAATATAAAATTTTTTAAAACTGTTATACAACCCGCTATTTACCAAAAGAATATTTACAAACAAGTCATACAATTTGCTACTCAAATAAACTATTACAATTCACTATCAGTTATCCACTAATGCAATCAACTATTTATTATCCGCTTTCACCTCATAATCTAAGCGCCAAAGTTTATAAATTAGTATTTGAGGTCTAAAACAACTAATCAAATAAGTTCGTCACCAAACAAGCTAGCTATATAGCAGATTTGATTGGTCAAACATTTAAATGAGGTTGAATCGTCTAATTTAGCACCATTCCTATTCCCCTAATAACAAATGATTTTTTATTTTTTATTTTTTTTTT